TCAAGAAATAATAAATTAAAAGAAAATTCTTGATGGCATATTCCTTACAAGGTACCATAAAGGGGAGAAAATAACAGGATCCAAAACCTTTGCAACGACCCATCATAAGGCGTAACCTGGGGAATATCACCCTATAAAGATATATCCCCCTAAATTGCCCCCACGAATTTTGTACCTTGTTAACTACCCCCCTACCCATTTTAAAATCCCAAACAGTGATTATATTTCGTTGCAGTTCTGCGAAATCCAAAATACTGATTATAGTTCGTTGCAGTTCTGCTAAATCCCATATATTGACAAAATTTCAATAACTGACAAAAAGTTCTGCAATTGCAGAACTTTTTGTCGTTAATTGGGATTTTGTCAATATTTGGGATATTTTCAGTATTTGGGAATTTGTCAGTAATTGGGATTTTGTCAAAATTTGGGATTTGTCAGTAATTGGGATTTTGTCAGTATTTGGGATTTTGTCAGTATTGGTATTTTGTCAGTATTTGGGATTTTGTCAGTAATTAGGATTTTGTCAGTATTTGGGATTTTGTCAGTAATTAGGATTTTGTCATTATTTGGGATTTTTGTCAGTATTGGGATTTTGTCAGTATTTGGGATTTTGCAACTGCAAAAAATTTGTGAGTGTATATTGAGATCTTCTCATTGGGTTAAAAATTGTACTGTAAATTTAAGCAAAAATGGAACGAACTTATCAGTATTTGAGATTGATTTGAACTGCAACAAGAACTATTGAAATTTTGCAAAACTAGAACAAACTTTTTGAGTTTTTAGGATGGGCAATAGACTGCGTGGCGCCATCACACATTCCTTTCGGTCAAGATTTGAGACTTTCAGTATTTGGGATAGACTGTACGGCGCCATTACACATTCCTCTCCGTCAAGCTTTGAGATTTTACAAACGAGCGAACGACTACTTCAGTATTTGGGATGAGAAATAGACTGAAAGGCGCCCTTAACTCCTGTCAGTTCAGCACTAAAACTGAACAGACTATTTCCCTATTTGGGGTGGGTAATAAACTAAACGGCGCCAGCACACATACAATTCAGAAACGATGATATAATTAGCGATTTAATTACCGGAAAAAAATTTTTTTAGAAGGTGAAACACTTTTTTCAAGAAAGCAAAATAATGGGCCATATAACAGGAATAAAAGGTGTAAGCTAGCGTATAATTACAAAGTATAGTTAAACTGGAGAGTTCAAGAATTATTGATCTCATCCGATAACCATAACCATTTGAGAAGCGTATGATAATCACGAATTATGAAATCTAACACTTGAAAATCCAATTAATCAAACTCAAGAAACACTAATTAGTGACTCTTTTAGTTGACGGCTTAAAAAGTATCGAAACAATTTTGACTCTTGCTGGCTATGAAATCTATCCGCTGGCTATGAAGCCTAGCCCAAGTTTAGCCAAGTCAGTTAGGTCAAGTTAAAAATCACAGGAAAAAAGGGTTCAACCTAGAATTACAAGGTATAGTTAAACAATCTCACAACCATTAGCTCATTCTTCACCCTCAAAACTATCAAGAAGTTCAGAAACCGCATCCTTAGAGAGGCACCATCATATTCAATTTTTCAAGCATGTGATTCCTCGCAAGACTACTCGGAGGAGAGCACTGGAGAAACTACAAGAATTGCGCACTCCAAGAGGATCTGAAAGATTTTGGCGCCAACTTCTGTTTTAAGTTCGATGTCATAGAATTAGCTTCCAAGGACTAATGGAAGTAGCTGAAAAAGACTCCCAGAGAAAAAAATGCGGTAAATGTGGTCGCAAAAAGTGTATATTTACTTTTTTGACCCATTATATGATTACTTGCATATTTAAGAAACGGGGATCTTCGGAAGATTTCAAGTACGATTTGGCTAAGGCGACAAAAACCGGAAATGTTGATGATATTATCAACACTATTCGATCTCGGCTTGCCATTACAGGCTTCAAATCATTCTTTCCTTCTCCTAGACGCGTTCGTCGAGCAACCGCCGAAATAAGGGTGCTTTTTACAATTTCTGTAAGCCCGAGAAAACATTTTATCGATTTCGAAGTGTCCTAGTGTCTTGCGTCAAAGCAGTTGCGTTTCTTTCACTGAAAATCACGGAGCTTTAAGGATTACGCGTGCATATCTTGGGAGACAGCTGTGAGATTGATGGTGTGGAGTTTACCAGGCTCGCGTTCAGGCTCCTCGATGTCGACATTAGTGTGGCTCTCACTGTATGTGTCAAATGACACTACAGACTTCCACCCACTAACTTGCAAGCCAGAGACTGGTAAAAGAACTGAACTCAATGTTACCCACTGAATAAAAAAAGTACCCAAGACGTCACTGAACACAAAAGTTACCCAAGACGTCACTGGTCAGCATCGAAGACATTCGATGCGTTTGTCCAGATGCCACCCTCATGATTACTCGATGTGTGGACACAGATCTTCGTCAAATGGCACAAAAAGAATCAATGATATGCATCCTCACGAAAAATTTGCCATTCAGCGCTTTGAGGAAAATATGACCAGACGGGGGCCAATAAGCCATTTTTTCATTTCACCACTCTCTCGATAGGAGGAATAGACAAAGCCGGCAAAGTGGGCGCAATCTCTTTCTGTAATCTGTGCGCAGACTGTCATCGCTGACAAGGAAGAAATGAATGAGGCTAGCACAGAAATTGAAGATCTCTTTGAAGGAGTATGGAAAAATGAAGTTGTTGTTCGCCCCAAAGAAAATGCATATATGTACTTTAAGTCTGTAAAAGTGCTACAAGCCATCTACCCGAGTCTCGTCTCAAAAGTTCCTGTAAAAACCCTCGGGTGCATCACCACTAAAGATGCCAATGAACTTTTGAGAAAGAGCTTGAATGAATGCACGAAATTACTAAGAGCAAGATGTGATTTTAACGCTATAGAGTACAAAAAGTGGGCTGAAAATTTTATCAAATTTCAGTGCTTATCTTCGGGGAACAAGGATTGACTCCCTACAAACTAAAATTAATCCTAATGCCACAGCTTGTGGTGAGCATTTTTATACAAAGTCCCTGGGAAAATTTGTCCGAAGCTCTCGAAAAATCCAACCACCATGCGAACAAGAATTTTCAAAGTAGGATAATGCGAGGCGGATGAAGATTGCATAACCAAGACCCATTATTCCTCGAAAAAAAAATTTCATTCTGCAAGTTCATCAAATCTGGCAAGTCCACACGTAGTTTTCTACACAATGCGGGAGACGTCTTGGGAGGAACTAATCTTATCCAGTCGTATTTACAAATATGTCAAAAAAATCTAGAATTTCCGAAAGTTGCCGCCGGTGAAATGCGTCCGTCTGCTGCTTTCTGGTTTGCGATTTTATGTGTTGGGTAGTTTCGGATTTACTGCGGCAGCAGTTGCGGGAAAGAAAGTAAAATCGAATCTAGCGCCACAAGCTATGGTGGAAAATAGATCCATGACTTAGGAGGTACTATCCTAACCAAAGACAATGCTCGAACGATTCTTCGGGGACTTTCCAAGACACCTAACTGCTTTCTTCTGCTGAAAGATGACAAAGATTTGGTCAAAGGAACGATGGCTGTAGAGGAACGGTTGCAAAACCGAGTAGCTAAAAACGAGTCAACAACTGATTTGGAATCTAGTGATACTGGGCAAAAAACCAAAGGAAAGAGCTGGCAAAAAAAACTGTCACCTGCTGCCATCCAGTGCCGTAAATTTGCGGGTAGTGATTTCAAGTTTTTGATGCTAGATTACTTAGTTGACTCTCTTTACTTTGATTCAGTTATTGATCCGACACTTACCAGCTACATCCGGGAAGTAACTTTTCAGCTATTTAAGTCAATGACAAGCGACTTTTGATGGAGCAATGTCCAACTAGCGGTGTAAGTAAGGTTTCTGCAATCGTGGCTCTAAGGAAATATAGAGCTGAAAAATCACCGAAGATTCTAAATACTGAACCCCAAGTACCCCCTTCGTGTAGCTGAACAAACTCAGCCCACTCAGCTCACAACAGCACAACCAAACGAGAGATCAACTTCGACGAGTTCAGTGTTAAAACGACGTTCAAGTAATCCACGCTAGTGGAATGCCCTACATATCCCGTCGGGTGCCTTTCTTGGGGTCCTTTCTTGGGCTCTAGGACAACAAGCCGACGTGACTTCAAGCCGAAGGGACTTCAGGCCGAAATTGAAACTTTACAAGCACCTCAAACCGCTATCTTTTCATTGGCATCCGTTAATAATATCAGCCGGTTTTTGAATTATCCGGCTTGAAGTCCCTAGTTTTACGTTTCGGCTTGAGATCCCATCGGCTTGATTTCCGGCACCCCTTTCGTGAACCTTAGTATCATACTTGTACCAATTTCGGGCGACAATGAGTCTTGGTGGCTCTTAGATGATACCCTTAACGTCTGTTAATTCTCACCTCTCGAAAAGGTGAGGGGGACCCGGGTAGCTGTTTTATATGATCTCACGTAATATAAATTTGTATTAAAGCGGGACAGTTTGTTTTTATTGATTCCACAAACTGTTAGCGGATTCCGCAGCTTGTAAGTGAGATATCCAGCAATAACCGGTTTGAACAATGGCTAGCTAGAGCAACAAATGCGGAAATTACGAACAAAAACTTAACCATTGTCTGTGGAATCTACGAACAAATCTTAAACCATTACCTAACTATATTCGTGGATATACCCTTTTAGATTTTAAACATTTGATTGAAAACGGCTAGTTTGATTTTTCAGTTTAGGTCGATCATTCACTTTTTAATGTTAATTCATTCCTAATCACGTTATTTTTTCAATTTCTTAGTGAATGTACATAATTGTATATATTCGAGGTTAATTATTAAAAAATTTAATTAGTAAATTTGAAATTAAATCAGAACAGGTTTAAAATATAAAATAATGAATACAAACGCACTCCTATAAACTGTAAATTGATTAGAAAACTGATAAAACGTTCCCCGGAACGAAACGAGTTTAAAGTTTTGTAGAATACCCAAAATCTATTTAACTGCTGTCGTCAAACAACACTTGAGTAGCTTTGTCTCCATAGTCAAAGCGCAGTTGCTCGAAAGGTGCAATGTCTCTCCTGGCTTTTAGGATGACTATTCTTTCACCTATGCTGGAAAGTACAACTTCTACCATCTTCATATTGGCCTCGTTTTTCTTCTGGGTGGCGTGGTTCGGTAAACGACCCAGGCAAACGTTCCAATTATGTAAAGGGTACTCCTCATTTGAAGCGTCGATCAATCGCCTAGGAGGACCCGCAATTTGCAATATGTATTCACTTAGAACTCCTGGCTGGAGGCAGTACTGGTCGGCATTGATGTTGGTTACTACTTTGCTGTGGTAATCCACCAACACGTCATCTTTCTTGAACGATCGCAAAGCAATCAAACCTAGTAAAAAAGAAATCACTCATTGAAAAATGAGTTGATTTAAAAATTACTGATTCAAAAAAGAAATTTTATCAGTAAGATATTCTTATCGAGTTATTAAAATTATAAATTAATTCTTCCAAAGACGGGAAATATCACATCAAATATGCCGATCCAGTTCTGGGTCAATGCACGACTCTGCAACTTTTCCTGAGCCTCATATGGAAAGCTCTCAATGTCGTTGGCGGTATGTTTCAGGCTTGTCGTTTTCTCAAGCGGCTGAAACTTTCTCTTTGATCCATCCTTGAGCAGCTTTGCCACATAGTCAACCCCTTTCTTCAGGTCATGGGTTGCCCACTTTTGCTTTGAGTAAAACTTTGTAACTTTACTTCACAGCTCATAGGAAGTCGTCATCTGCTGAACAAAGATCTGTGCGCATAGCATCTGGCGAACGTAACGTTTAGAACCTTGTCGGGATCGCACTGCCAATAGAATCTCTTCGTAGGTGAATCCGTCCAGTTTCTGGTGAACTTCTGAAGCTTGCCTCTTCAGCTTTTCCATCTCGAACGTAGGGCTGGTAGACAAAAACATAAGCTTCGCAACCTTACGTGCGAGACAACGCTTCGGCTGTTCCAGATTTATGATGCTAATCTTTAAAAAAAAAAGAATCTTTTACATGTGATTCCACGTCGGTTTCAATTTTGATAAATAAATCCCTTTGGAAGACAATGAAACTTTATATCGATTGATCTACCTGAATTGATCAACTAGTGGAGCAACCCGGAACACCGCGTTCCCAATTGAATTTCAAAAAAAATTTCAGTCGTCACCATGTCATATTGCTTCTCTTTAAATGGGTTCTGGCCTCTGTATAGTACAATTTCATACCCTGTACTAGCCAGACTGGAATTCAGTGGGAGACGCGAGAAGTTGACACTATAAAACTGAGTCATCAAATTGAATGTTTTTTTTTATCAAATCAGTGCTTCAGATTTAAAAAGATACTTACAGGCTGCTGTTTCTATGCTCAGCTTCACGGTATCGTCTTCGTTTTTTTCCTTTATGTTGACAATCGCTTGGACGACGGCATGTACCGTGGCTTTGATGATCATTTTCTCGAGCATCCCTGTGCACGTGAACAGAAACGTGACAATGGCCCTGAACAAGGTCAATTGTTCTTTGTGGGTCAAGGTTCCATTTCTTTTATCGGCGCAGTCAGTCGACTCCTCGAGATTCTTTAAAATAACTTTTTTGAGAGTCTCGTTTATTATCCGGTTTTCGGCTCGGGAGGTTGTAAAATTGAATATGATTTAGTTTCAATATTTGGTTTACTAAAACCTTTAGTCTTGTTATTTCTTCAACTTACACTTTCTCCTACACTATCTGCCTTCCACTATCCTTCTTACCTACTTTTTTCGTTGATTTTTTCTCAGGATCTGTCTTATATCTCTTCTATTTAAACATTCTTCGAGTTTTTCTATTCAGGATCTGTCTCATTTCTCCACTTACAATTCCAGAGGAAACATTCGCAAATAAACCTGAGATAATAATTTACACTCAAAACGGGCCTATGGGGATCAAAAGGTGGTGGTTTTCTCCTCGTTCAAAAAATATTGAAATGTTTTTCCAATCCTCACTATTTTAACTCACTGTTTACCTCCTTTTTTCTATGATTACGTGAGAATTTGCCCGCGCAAAAACAACTAACTGGGGTTTCAATAGATTGCTTCTCTGATGAGAACCTCAAATCTACGGTGTAATTTTTTGTGTTTTGAACAAAACTCGCTACGGCTATGAGTTTTTGATGAAAGAGCTTGCACCTAGATTCAACATTTAAGTTCACGTTTCAGTGTGTCAGTATAAACAGTACAATTTTGTTCCGTCATTTAAAAACTGGCTCACCTAAGATGCCGAGAGTACCAAAATCCATTTCTACAAGCCGTCGTCTGCTGCGAACTAAAACTGCCTTGCAAGACGAGCATCTTAAATCCAGAAGTGCTTACAATCATTCCAATTGCATTATTTTTCACTGAAAACGAGATAATACCTGGGAGATTGGTAAAAGCAGTGTCTGAGAAATTCATTCGGTTTAGGTATATTTCGTACTCTTCGACTGACGAAATAATTATTTCCTTTCGAGTCTGCAGTTCGAAAGTATTACATCCCTCGTTTGTCCGGATAAAGATACTTCGCTTGACTGTGAAAACTTTTTTAAAATACGCTTAAACTTCAGAGCTTAAACACGTCAAACGATGTGGGTACAAAGTTGTGGAAACAGAAAATTGAGTTCAATAAGAGAGGTAAACGCAATCTTTATCTGGAAAACATTTCACCTAACAAACCAGAATACGAATAGCAGCATTATGCAAAGGAACACATAGAGCCATTGAAACAACAGAGGCGCTTTTTCTGACCATATTTTGATCAAATTGCGGATCAAATCCTGACCATATTTTCTTTTGACCATATTAACAATACTTGAAAACAATTATTACTCATTTTGTTGTACTGTAATTTTTACCGCTTGTATAAGTTTTTCTTTTCAATTTTAAGAAAAAGAGGATTTTGTCATCCGGTTTTCAGAGTTTCGTTTATTATCCGGTTTTCGGCTCGGGAGGTTGTAAAATTGAATATGATTTAGTTTCAATATTTGGTTTACTAAAACCTTTAGGCTTGTGTAATGTGAAGTTATTTCTTCAACTTACACTTTCTCCTACACTATCTGCCTTCCACTATCCATCTTACCTACTTTTTTCGTCGATTTTTTCTCAGGATCTGTCTTATATCTCTTCTATTTAAACAATCTTCGAGTTTTTCTATTCAGGATCTGTCTCATTTCTCCACTTACAATTCCAGAGGAAACATTCGCAAATAAACCTGAGATAATAATTTACACTCAAAACGGGCCTATGGGGATCAAAAGGTGGTGGTTTTCTCCTCGTTCAAAAAATATAGAAATGTTTTTCCAATCCTCACTATTTTAACTCACTGTTTACCTCCTTTTTTCTATAATTACGTGGGAATTTGCCCGCGCAAAAACAACTAACTGGGGTTTCAATAGATTGCTTCTCTGATGAGAACCTCAAATCTACGGTGTAATTTTTTGTGTTTTGAACAAAACTCGCTACGGCTATGAGTTTTTGATGAAAGAGCTTGCACTTAGATTCAACATTTAAGTTCACGTTTCAGTGTGTCAGTATAAACAGTACAATTTTGTTCCGTCATTTAAAAACTGGCTCACCTAAGATGCCGAGAGTACCAAAATCCATTTCTACAAGCCGTCGTCTGCTGCGAACTAAAACTGCCTTGCAAGACGAGCATCTTAAATCCAGAAGTGCTTACAATCATTCCAATTGCATTATTTTTCACTGAAAACGAGATAATACCTGGGAGATTGGTAAAAGCAGTGTCTGAGAAATTCATTCGGTTTAGGTATATTTCGTACTCTTCGACTGACAAAATAATTATTTCCTTTCGAGTCTGCAGTTCGAAAGTATTACATCCCTCGTTCGTCCGGATAAAGATACTTCGCTTGACTCTGTGAAAACTTTTTTAAAATACGCTTAAACGTCAGAGCTTAAACACGTCAAACGATGTGGGTACAAAGTTGTGGAAACAGAAAATTGAGTTCAATAAGAGAGGTAAACGCAATCTTTATCTGGAAAACATTTCACCTAACAAACCAGAATACGAATAGCAGCATTATGCAAAGGAACACATAGAGCCATTGAAACAACAGAGGCGCTTTTTCTGACCATATTTTGATCAAATTGCGGATCAAATCCTGACCATATTTTCTTTTGACCATATTAACAATGTTTGAAAACAATTTTTACTCATTTTGTTGTACTGTAATTTTTACCGCTTGTATAAGTTTTTCTTTTCAATTTTAAGAAAAAGAGGATTTTGTCATCCAGTTTTCAGAGGCTGTTTTAAATCAGCTTTCAAAAAGCACAATTGAGCCGTCCTCTATCCCAAAAAACATTAGAAACATCACCTATCAAATACTGATTAGTGATGATGATTTCCGAACCATTTCAAACCCTGAACTATAAATTAATGCCATTCGATGACTGTTTTCCAATCTCAAAAAAATCATCAGATTATCGGGTGATCGATAAAGATTAGACATCCGCATCTATTTAAATAACCTACGTTTCAATGCTGATAATGGATAAGTCCTTGCTTTTAAATTGCGCGTTGGTACAGATAACAATCCCCCCTCTAGCTTTTAATTGTTCATATGCAAGTTCAGTGAAAAAACAAAATTGCGGAATCCAGTTACAATTTGTGGAATCCGCTTACACTTTGTAGATTCCACTTACAGTTGCGGAATCCAGAACAACTAGCTATAATTGCTTTTTGCGGAATCCACAAAATTCACGTTAAAGGTATTTGAACGCAGAATCCCCTGAAAATTTGTTTAGTGGAATCTACTTACAATTCGGAATATATTTAAAGACTTTCATCAGGAGTACAGGAATATACAGACACAAAATTGTGCGCCTATCCAGTGCACATTTTGGCCTTTTAATGTATTATGGGATTTGTACAATTCCACTCAACAGAAGGAATTTTTTTTATTCGTTATCCTTAGTAGAGTTAAAATAACAGAGTTAAAATAAAAATCAATGCAAACATCCAGGACGTTGTACAGATACGCGCATTTTTTCAATCTATTGAGAATCAGTTTTATTGAAATCCGCTCTGTGTTTAATCAGCTTTCAAATCCAGTTTTGAAAAGAGAAAAGACCGCAACTAGTTAAAACAACCGTAAAAACCATCGTGTAGCAATTTAGTTTTTTTTACAATAGAAACTTAAGCAAGAGCTCTCAAGTGAATCTGCCAGAATAATTGGACGGACATTTTCTGGGACCTTCTATGAAAAAACTGAACCGTCTTAAATAATAATAATATCGTTCATCAACGCTTACCACGTTGAAGCAACGATGAGCTATAGCTGAGGTGGTAGAGATGCGTGTCTAAAAATTTCAGATTACGGGTTCGAAATCACACGTGTTCGACAACTTACAAGGTGACTTCATAGAACTGCATTAAAAAACGTTATCCTAGACTTCATTTCTCAGCGCCCCCTCAAAATGAAACACGGTCTCAAGATATGTTAATGTTCCGAACATTGAAAATGTGGAGAAACTTTGCACTTGGGTGTTTTTCTTTTTGTTTTCCACGCAAAATCAGGTACCACAAATAATCATCGAATAGGGCTGAGTGATATATCATATTAAAGCCATTTCAGTCGAGCCACATTAGAAAGTTCCCACAATTTTTTTCTAGTGTCGAAAAACACGCTTTGAAATTTTTGATTTTTCGTCTTCATTCGAGCGAATGAAGCGAGAGAGCAGGCTTACAACAGCTGAATTATGCCTAATTTAAAACTCAGAGTTTTTTAACTTCATTTTGAGAACCAAAAATTTCAAAAAAAAAACAGTTCACTGTCGTCAAACTTGGGTCTGAAATTCGGAAACATAGCCACTTGTGTTTTTTGAAGAAATCTCAACATTCCGATTTCCAAAAAAAACATAGAAGCCTTAAAGCGCGTT